TAGAAAGTGATGAAAAAAGGATGGGCCTGCAGTCCTTAATTTACCTTACCTCGTCTCTCATGCAGGAGTATTTGGTGCCCCAAGAATATGTCCAGATAATGAGAGAATATATGTTGAACAGATGCCCAGTATCCCCATACGATCAAGTGTGTGAAGTGGTCAAGAGAGAGCTTGGTGAAACACCGGATAAGGTATATTTCATTGGTACATCTATTTGATATAATCAGACTACGCATTCATTCTGTTGAATGGAGATTATTCTTGAAATCTGGTCTGGCAGAACTTTGGTTAACATCATTTGACTCCTGTTGTTTTGTATATCTTGTTTCTTATTGCTATTGTATTAACACCTTTATTTTATTATAAATGATATTTTGGCCTCATGATGTAAACCTTCTCGTGTGTAGATCTTTTCTGAATTTAATCCTGATCCAATAGCTAGTGCTTCCCTTGCTCAAGTGCATGTTGCTCGCACCCATGATGGGCAGAAAGTTGCTGTGAAGGTCTTGTTGTATTCAATAATTTTGAACGTGAATTCACATTTAATTTGACTTTTGAGAGTTCCTTCTCAATCTTGTTTACCAGTAGCTCCCTTACATACAGGTGCAGCACACTCATATGACTGATACTGCGGCTGCAGATCATGCTAGTGTTGCATTAATTGTGAATACCATATATCGACTTTTTCCTTCTGTTGATTATAGGTAATGTTTTAGAACCTATGAACTTTTTAAGGGTTTGTAGATGAATTGCATCCTGTCCATAAAAAGCACACAAATTATGTATCTATATACTCTGTAATAAAGAAAACTTATGCATCTATCTTGAAGAATGTGCTGCAATAATGATATTGTTCCAGAGACTTTTGATGATATATGATCCCTTATGATGGTTTCTTTTTTTTTCTCTTATTTAGGTGGTTGGTTGATGAGATCAGTGAAAGTTTGCCAAAGGCAGGTTATCCTTTCTTTGTCTCGTACACTCCTTTTAGTTGTATGCCATCTCCTACAGTCCTTTTGCATTGGTTATGCATACACTCTTCAATGTCATGAAAACTCCTTCCAGATATTCTTTATTTTTTCACGTGGATGCCAATAAATTTTCCCTATATGTTTTTTCAATTGTGCCAAACTTTATAACAGTTAGCTTTTTATAATTAAGAAAATTTAGGATATTCAATATCCTTATTTGTTAGCTTCTAATTATGAATTTAAGCCCATGAAAATTCGATTGATTCAGATTACTCTTACCATTATGATTTAATGCTTGAGGTTTGCATGTCAGTCTTCTCATTCTTAAATCTGGCAGATTTCCTTCTTAACGATGTATTCTTGAGATCCTAGTTAACTTGTTTTTCCAAGATTTTTATAAACTAATCTCCAATTTGCAAATTTTCTGGGCTTAAAATAATATGTAATTATATGCCTTCTTTGTTTTGTACAATATTGAATTTGATGTTCCTCTCCTCAATGCTCACGTTTTCAAGATTAATCTCAAGGTTAGGAACTTCAATGGATTTTTTTTTTCTTCTATTTCACTTGTAAGCTTTCTATCCAAATTGATCTCCTATGTTGTTATCAGAAATATCTTGAACTCGGATGAGAATATAGAAATTTTCTGGATGCACTATGTTAGGAGCTTTATTTTGAATGAACAAAAATTACTTTGATTAAACGATGAGGGATGCTGCCCTAAATTTTATGGTATTTGAGTCACCGTTTTGCAGTGGCACATCATCAGTGAGTTTTCGATGGGTAAGATTTTGTGATAGTGGAATTACTTTTTTTTTTTTTTTTTTTGCTAGACAACTAATTCATATGCCCAGTAACTCCCTGTATTTTGGGTTGGATTTTGATTTATGAATCTAGATAGGAAACTTTATTTTATAATATTCCCCGAGTAGCAGTTATAACCCATGAATTTGGAACTCACTCCATATTTTTTTTTCCTTCTTTTGTTGCTTTCCATCTTTGATAGTTCCGTTATTGACACAGTTTTATCTCCTCCTCAGGAACTTGATTTCTTAGGTGAGGCCAGGAACAGTGAGAAATGTCTGGATAACTTTCGGAAGTTGTCTCCTCATATTGCGGACTATGTGTATGCTCCAAAGGTCTATTGGAACTTGAGTACCTCAAAGTTATTGACCATGGAGTTTATGGATGGTGCTCAAATAAATGATGTTCGGGCCATTCAGAGGCTTGGGATTCAACCATCAGAAGTTGCAAAATTAGTAAGATCATGCACTTCACAATTCTGTTTATAACATATTAGGTTTTTTTATGAGCATCATTTTTATTTTGTCTTCGTTCATCATGTGTTCCTTTCTTTAGCCCCTTGATAGTCCTATGCCCAAGCGGCTTGTTAACTGCATATATTCTAACATGTTGCAGCTTAAGTATTTCAAGCCTGACAGTGCAAGATATGTTATCTACAGTCTGCGTGTCTGTTTAGTTGGATATGCAATTTGAATCAGAGTTGGTTTGTACTTTTTTTAACAGTTGTTGATTGACCAGCTAGAAGATGCTAATGGTTCAGGAATTCAGACCATTCATTTATATGTTCTTTTAACTTTTTATTTAAATGTTTGCTTGACCTTATCATGAATTAATGATACAGGTTTTACTTCACTTGCTGAAAAATTACGTTTCGAAACTATTTATATAGGTTAGTCATACATTTGCTGAGATGATATATAAGCATGGATTTGTGCACTGTGACCCTCATGCTGCAAACTTGCTTGTCCGTCCCTTGCCTTCTGGCAGAAGGAGCATATGTGGTGAGCTGTTACTAAATGATCAATTGATTTTTTTAACGATGTATTAGTTAAACCTGTATATTACTTTTTGGGATATCAATGTCGATTTGTCAATTCTCGTTCTGTCAACACACAGGCAAGAGAAAGCCACAGTTAGTACTTTTGGACCATGGGCTGTACAAAGTTCTCGACTCCAACATAAGATTCAACTATGCTGCCCTTTGGAAGGTATTTCCTTTGCAATTCATCCAAGTGCCATCTCACTGTATTCCTGTTGCCAGCATGTCTCCGTCCTTGATTGTCGTCTGATGTTATTTGCTTACCTTCGGTTAGGCTTTAATATTTTCTGATGCTGAGGCAATAAAGGAAAACAGCAAGAAATTGGGTGCTGGGGAAGATCTTTATGCATTGTTTGCTGGAATTCTTACCATGAAACCTTGGAATCGAGTTGTTGACCCAGCAGTTGACCATTTAGTCATTCAAGGAACTGACGATGAACGTTCAGAACTACAGGTAGTCTCTCTTAGATGGTACATACCACCCCCACTCCAAAAATGAGTATTCATGTTCTTGCACTTGAACCTTCCCCGTAATGAATTACTCCTGATGCTGCAGTACCCTCTTCCTACAGTGGGGATATAAAACCGATCCTGAAACACTATATACTTATTTGATGATAAGCATTGGTCTAATGAAGTTCTTGAACTGTTTGAATTTTACTCAATTTTAGGTGCTCCTTGAGAAAGTTGTAAAGATTGCAGTTACTAACTGGGTATCTGACGGAATTTGACCTTTCTTTCTTTTCAGATGTATGCTTCACAGTATTTCCCCCAAATCTCAGAGCTCCTTAGGAAATTACCACGTGTAATTTTGTTGATGCTGAAGACAAATGATTGTTTGAGGGCGGTTAACAATTCTCTGGTAATATACCATCCTCACTCCACTAACTATGATTTGCTTAAAATAGCGCTTAATGTGACATTAGCTTTAGCACTATTGTCAAAAGTATTCGGATAGTCTAGAACATTATTATTACAATGACTATTATTTTGAAACAGTCTAAAACATTATTATTGAAATGGTTTGTGAACAGTTGCAGGGATCTTCCCTGGAGACATTCCTCATCATTGGGAAGGTATCATCTGAAGCAGTTATCGAGGCAAAATTAGCAGAAAATAAGTCGTTTGCATGTTGGTTAAATGTTTGGTTAGATGAAGTGATGTTGGAAGCTCGAATTTTCACATTGCAGCTAGCTTTATGGCTTTTAAATCTTAAAAAAACTTTACTTTGGTGAAGGAAGGTGTGAAAACGCATCAACACGTAAGGATCAGTTTTGTCATCTTACTTTTAGAAGAATCTTCATTCTTTCTCTGTGGTCGAATTCCCTTCTGTTCTTGCTGGGTTGTCGAACACAGATCGATTATACAGCCAAGAGTTGAAAACTAGTGTTTGCGAGACAGATTACTTTGTAAAACCCCACATGGGACTATGAGATGATAGAAAATATGTATCACATATTCATTTGTGTCAGCCAATAAATGGAGGATGTTGCAAGAGAAGCACCCCTTTTTGGATATGTTATGGATTTGGAGAGGTTACAAGGGTAACTCATGACACTTTAGAGATGTAACAAGTTTCGGTTTCATTTTGTACCCAAGTCCTCCTTTATGGTGGAACGTGTATTTATAAAATATTTTGAGACCTGTTTTTATTCATGACTTAGTTGTCACCGTATGATGGTATTTTGTATTTAATGCTATGAGCACATGCAGGTGATGATATGATACTAATGGGTGGGGATTGCATGTTGATGGTAATTTTACATTGATGAATAATTAGCGGTGGTTGGACGTTAGTTATTCACAATCATCACCGTAAGTACTTTCATGAAGGTCCCTCAGTTGTACGATAGTTGTTCATGATTATTACTATAATCGTCGCGATGGGATAACGAACAATTTTGTAGTATGGTACGAGCAGCTACAAATGTCCTCAATTTTATTTGATTAGTCATAAATCAAATAATAGATTTCACTTATTTATTTATTTATTTAAAACGCTTCCGCTTGAACCCTTCTAAGATTGGGCCGTTGTCAATGTTCATCTATCTAATGCTTATCTATTCATTTATTCCGGGTGTACGATCTTTTACGCTACATCCGGCCACACCCAATCAAAACCTGTCTACCAGATCGCTCTATAAAAATTTTGAGTTTCCCTCCAATTATAAGATTTTCCTCTTTCACTGAAAATTCGATTAAATCAATGTTGGGAAAGTCGGCGCCTCATTCTTCTTCCTCAACCTCGCTTCCTTGCGTCGACTGCAAATTCCCAATTTTCATCTCTTCTTTCTCATCCCAAATCATCGCCAATTCTCAATCCAAGGTGCCGCTCTCCCCATCGTTTAAACTATCATTTATTCTATGGTTTTTATGTTGTTCTTAATAGTTTCCCTATTTCGTCTCATTTTCCTTTTTGTTTGCAAGTGCGTTATCCGGTGTATTTTGTGCATCTCTGTATGTATTTATTCTTTGAAATTCGTATTATATTTCAATTTTTCATATTAGTGTCCGGATGCAAAAGCTGCTTACAGTTTTCTATTGTTGCAATTATGTTGCGAATTTACTCGTTCATTAATTGGGGAAATGAAGAAAAACAAAGTGATTTCCTTTGTATTCCCACCGAGATGTAAATATAAGTTTGTAATTTGGAGGTGAGACGCTTGAGAGAATTGAAGATCTCTGCATGATGTATATTTAACTGTTCAGTTTTTTTTTTTTTTGTACTGTACTGTCTAGTTTAACAATCTGTTTTTAATTTTTTAGTCTCAGAGAAAACATTCTTGATTCCTCAATAGTTTGACTGTGTTTTTACTGTCATTATATTTCTGGTAGTTCCAGTAAACATTTTTCTGTAGAAGTAGGTGGTGCCAGTTGAAAATATATTGATATTGATGACATTGAACATTGGAGAAACCTGTTGAAGACCCTAAGAAATGACAAATTATTATGATATTGATGACATTCTGGCGGAGGAAGAGGTCAATATCTTATTCTTTTACTTGATAAGACTTTATAAACTCGCAATCTCAATATTGAATCTTGTTTTGTGCGCTTGACAGCTTGTCTCAGTTATGTTCCAAAAGGCAGTTAATGGAGTTGCCATCGATCCCAGTTCTGAAACAGATTCTGTGAGTTGGATTAGTAGGAGACAGGTTATGGAAGATGAATGACAAACTTATGTTTTCTTTTCTGGTGCAATTTCAGGTTGAATCTGGATCCAAAGTAGAGCTACCCTTCTGGCTTGCAAAAGAGCTGCATCTTAGACAAGTGGCGGTTATGGGCTTGCCTGCTTGTTTTAACCAAAGGTAGCAATCGCCATTATACTCGGGCTTTTTATACGACCAAGAATTTCCCTGAACTTTTATTGTCTAGACTTTTGGGGAGCTTAAGAGAATGAGGATCTTCCTTACTACACCCTGACTTACTCTCTAAAAACTGACCTGCAAAGACACTGAATTCTGATTCTTTTTCTTCTAACTTTGTGGTTGCAGAATTCATGCTTGATTGACTTAATTTCTTTTTATCTGCTTATTGTTTTATGAGCAGAAAGTTCTGAATTGGAATCTTGAGTACAGGAATTAGTCAAATTTAATGAGATCATTTTAAAGTTGTTGGTGTTATTATTTTGAGTTTAAGAACTTCCCCTCTAAGCGCTCATAACTTGTATTTTGAATTGGTGTTATTATTTTCAATCAACTGTGCATGATCTATTATATGGCATGAAATTGTAGTATTCCAAAACCTTTTGAGATTTGGTTTATAGAATCTCGTTACTTGCTCCGTTGAAGCTGACTCACAAAGAATTTTTTTTTTTTTTTTTTTTCCTTTGTGTAGTATTCTGAGCCTGTGTGTGCTCAATCTTTTCATGTGCTAACTAATTTATTACTAGCAGAGACTTCTTACCCTAGAATTTCATGATCAAAGGAATCAGCGAGACTTTGAAGATGATATATGTTCTTATATATATAATATATATAAAGATGATGGTATTTGTAGTTGACTAGTGCTTTTTATCTCTAAGCAGAACGCGACTTGAAATTCAGGCTGATGCTGCATTTGTTGATCTACGATCTAGAAGTCAATACTTCTATGAATTTGGATGCAAAATTGCACCATTGTGAGTATCTTGAGATCCAACTCTGTGTGCATCAGATTTTTTGTTTTTTTTTTTTAAATATCCATATGAATCCATACTTGAATTTCATAGGATATTGAATCTTAGATAGGTGGCAGTATGAATTTATCATAATTATTTTGAGGAGAAAATTTACATTGCTGTTTTTCCATAATTTTAGCTGAAGTCATACTTTATATCTACTGGATAGTTAAAGCATGTCAGTGCACTTTCATTTGACATACATTTGTACTAAAATAAGCATTGTTTGTTTTCACCTTTGACAGAACTACCATTCTGAAGGTATGACATTTAACAGATCCTTCTTTTAACGTAATAATTAGGATATCTAGTCACAAGACTTCTTTTTTACTGCCGTCTAAATGACATATCAAACGATCAATTTAAGATTGTATATTAAGCATGTCGATTGGACATCCTATCAATGACTAAGGATCTTAACTTTAGGCTTGAACTCTTGGGAGTATTTTATAATAATCTGTCTAGCATGTTGTCATCTCAAGTTCTGCATCTCGATGAATATTAGTATCATTTTCATTCCATTGGTAGATGTAGACTGATAAATATACATAAAGCTTTAAAACTGACTAGCTAGCCCACTCTACATATGAAGTATATCTTGTAAAAAGTGCTTCTTGCCCTGATCTCGTGCATTTTGGATGTCTACCATATCTCGCTGTTAGCAATATTTTTGAAGTGTACCTAAATGGACGAGAACGCAATAGATAGAGTGCTATTTCTCATTTTTGTTTCACAAACTTCAATGTCAGGGTTGGTGATAGAACAATCGGTTCTTGGCTTTTATCCACGTTCAAAAGTAGGTACAAGGAAGTTTTGACCAAGGCTCACACTGCAGTGTTTGCTGCAAGTTCAAAATACTTGACACTTCTATCAAAGGAAGAAACTAAAAGTGAGATTTTTGTTGCATGTTTTGTCTGTCCTCTGTTTTCATATTTGGTGCTTCTCTTCAAACTCACGTCTCAATATAATCATTGTATGCAGTGTATGAGGCAGCCCAGTCCTCTATGACAGCCTTTAAGAAATGGCGAATCGGTGGGCCTAGATTTCAGAAAGCATCCTTTCTTGGGAGGAAGAGGAAGTCTTCTGAGTAGGTACTAAGTCAAGCTTAAATGTATTCTATTTTCATCCTTTGGTTGCATAAGCATAGAAAACAGTGGAAAAGTAGTAATTTATTCATAATTTTTTTTAAAAAATATGTTTCATTATTCCCATTTCAACTTCTCATCTTTTTCCCTCTCCCCCTTTTCTACATGTCCTACTTATTCTATGATTTAAATGTGATATCCCACCTCGAATGGGGAGGAGAATAAAACACTCTTATAAAAGGTGTGGAAATCTTTCCCTAGCAGACATTTTAAAGCTTTGAGGAAAATCTCGAAAGAGAAAGCCCACAAAGGATAATACCTACTAGCGGTGGACTTAGAGTTGAACTCTTAAACCAAATGATGTATTCAGTTCTATCACATGTTGCTAAGGCGGCTCTTGTATGAACACACAACAAAACGTAGCACACTCAAAATCATTCGAGAGGAAGAAATAAATGTCTAATCTTGATATCCAAGTCTTTGAAAAGTGAGATTCTAAAGTCGAAACTTTCTATGATCCGTCAAATTTGAATGTTTCTAGAGTGGGCAAGACATTACGGAGCATTCGTCAGAATAACTTAGTGTCTTCACATTGTATTGAAGCTCATCTCTCCACCTATTTTTCTTTCCCATCATACCTAATATTCAAATTTATTTTCTAATTATAATTATAATAATTATTATTATTATTTTCCAATTGGAAAAGTAGTCATCGGCCCATTGTTGAACCTATTGTAGATCTGCTTTAATGTATATGTGTATATATATATAATTTTAAAGTTGTGGATATTATTAGGTTTTGGAGAACGCGTTTTAGGATTATTTTTTTAAAAAAATTAACATCAACATCGTGGATGCCACTATGTTTAGTAACCATATTGTTAATTTAAAATTATACATCTTACATTTAGTTGCATATTATTAATTTTAAGTTAAATTTTATCAAATTAGATATACTAATAACCGTCCTTTTAAAAAAATATATAATAACAATATGTTTCTAAGAACAAATTTTAAACACTATTGATATTGATATTAAGATGATTAAACTAAGACATTTAAATGTATATAGACTAAAATAGAGTAAATTTTGAAGAACAAAACTTAAATATTTATGATAAAGTAATAATAAGTATGTGGCAGTAAAAAGTTTATTTTTTAGTTCACATGTTTAATTAATTAATTGAATATAGTTAAATAGTTAGAAAACCGACTCCATTGTCCCTTCACAATTGGCTCCATTATAAAGAAAAATATTATTATCAACCATTTTTTTTATTTGTTAATTGGATCATAATTAATGTAAGAATAAAAATAAAAGAAAATAAAATAAAAGGATTTATTTATGTATTTATTTTATTTGATAAAGGAAGACGAACATTGGTGACTTTAGATATCGAATTGGCGGGAGTTGACAAAATATGGCAGAGAAAAACAAACCACGTGGCGCATGGCCAACGAAAACGACGCGCTCATGAAGCGTTTTGACGATAAAAGCGAGTACAAAATTGTATGATCATATTAATTTTGCATTTGTTCAGTTAAAAAAAAAAAAAAAAGTCGACGCGGTCGAGCGATTGAGCATTAAACTCTCCGAAAAACTTGGTTCCATTGCCATCGTTCCTCTCTGAATTCAACAATTTGGGGATGTGCGATCAGGTCTCCATTTCTCCATTTTTCTCCTCCAAGTTTTTCATAGTTTTTGGATTCAAATTAGTCGCAGAAGGGTTGTGAGAATTCCATTGTGTTCAAATCCTGATCCGACATGAAGGGGGGCTGCCACAGCTACAAGGTTTTCGGTTTCAGTCGGAAGTTCAAGTTATCTGAGGCCCAACCGCCGCAAGACGTCATAGATATCTTCGCTTCGTTTACCGATGGCGGGGAGTACATGTCCGCCGAACAAATGCTCCATTTCTTGGGGGATCAGCAAGAGATGGAATGTACCCTATCTGAAGCGGAGCAGATCATCGAGCAGATCTTGCAGAAGCGACGGGGCTCCGATAATCCCTCTGGAGATCCGAGTCAGCGTCTTAGCCTTGATGATTTCTTCCATTATCTCTTCATGCCTGAGTTCAATGGCCCCATTAAAACTCAGGTTTGGACCCTTTTTCTTGTGCCCCTTTCTTTTCCTACATATCCACCCATATCCCATTTCATAATTTATTGGGTTCTTGTTTTTTTTTTTTTTTTTTTTTTTTAATTCATTTTATTCAACTGGGATGAATTTTGAAATGGAAATTTGATCACTGTTTCCCCAGCGGACACTTTAACAGTGGAGTCTTTGTTAGAGCTCCTGGATGAGGAGAGCTTGAGGAAAGATACAGCACNTTTTTTTTTTTTTTTTTTTTTTTTTTTTTTTTTTTTTTGTGTTAATTCATTAGCTGCTTATTGCAATGACCTAATCCGAATGAACTCAGTAATGCTTTTAATAACATTACTTTGGACAGGTACATCATGATATGAATGCTCCATTGTCCCATTATTTCATATATACAGGGCACAACTCTTACCTTACTGGGAATCAACTTAGTAGTGATTGTAGTGATGCTCCCATAATAAAGGCTTTGAATAGAGGGCTACGGGTAGTTGAGCTTGATTTATGGCCAAATTCAACAAAAGATGATGTTCATGTTCTTCATGGAAGGTATTAATTACCTCATCTTTCAATACCATCCTCATCAAATCAAAATATAAACTGATATTAACTTTTAAAAGAGGAAATCACTGTACAGAACCATTCTCTGGATGACTGTAGGACTTTAACCAGCCCTGTGCCTCTCTTGAAGTGTTTGAAGTCTATAAACGAGCATGCTTTTGAGAAATCTCCATATCCTGTTATTATCACTCTTGAAGATCATCTTACTCCTGACCTTCAAGCTAAAGTTGCAGAGGTTTTCATTCTTACCCAAAGTAATTGTTTCTGTTTATCCTTATAGATTCTGGTTTAATGCTTTCTATTTTCCCTTGAAGATGGTAACCGGAATATTTGGAGATACACTGTTCTACCCTCAGGAAGATAGCTTATCAGAATTCCCTTCTCCAGAATCCTTAAAACATAGAATCATTATTTCAACAAAGCCACCAAAAGAGTACCTTACATCTAATAAAAAGGATAAGGTTTTAAGTGATGGAAAAGAGTCATCAGAAGAAGAGTCAACAGATCCTGTGACTGATTTCGATGCTGATGAACAGGTGGGTGAGAAATGAAAGCTGGGCATACTGTTTCTTATTTTGAAGTATAAATTATTGCTTGATTAGTCCTTTTGATTATGAACAGAGTGAAAGTGATCCAGATGAGGAAGAAAACAGTGGAGGCGAGTCGAAACCGCCCCAGCAGGGTGCACCAGAGTATAAACGTCTGATTACAATCCATGCAGGGAAACCAAAAGGGGGCTGCTTAAAGGATGCATTGAACGTACAAGGTGACAAGGTTCGGCGCCTTAGCTTGAGTGAGCAAGGACTTGAGAAGGCTGTGGTCTCTGATGGAACTGATGTTGTAAGGTAATTGTTCAACTTATAATGTGAATCAGTTTTGATCTTTTGCTGGTGATTGATTCTGATCATTATAGTTATGATCTTTAGGTTTACACAAAAGAATATTTTGAGAGTTTACCCGAAAGGAACCCGTGTCACGTCGTCGAATTTTCGGCCGAATATCGGGTGGACGCATGGAGCTCAGATGGTTGCTTTAAACATGCAGGTGCTGATTGGAACCTTCATCATGTCCGTGCCCTTATTTTCTTGTCTTTCCCCCTTAGATTCTTGTGAATGAGTGGATCAAATATTAGGGAGGAGAATGAAACACCCTTTATAAGGGTGTGGAGACCTTTATTTAGTAGACGCGTTTTAAAGCTTTAAGGGGAAGCCCGAAAGGGAAAGCCTAAAGAGGACAATATGTGCTAGCAGTAGGCTTGAGCCGTTACAAATGTTGAACAAAGTTTCAAACGTCTTATAAATGTTGTTGTGATCTGTAAGGAATGATCCAAATGAAGTTCCTGTTTGTTTTTCTACGACAGGGCTATGGAAGATCACTATGGATGATGCATGGGATGTTTAGAGCCAATGGAGGGTGTGGGTACTTAAAAAAACCAGACTTTTTGTTACAAAAGAGCCCAGAAGATGAGATCTTTGATCCCAAGAAACCTCCGCCAGTGAAGGAAACATTAAAAGTAAGCCAATTGTGTTGGGTTGTTCTATCTTGGCATCAGTTTTAACACCCATGTTCTTCAATAGGTAACAGTATATTTGGGGGATGGGTGGAGCTCGGACTTCAGCCAAACGCATTTTGATAACTATTCTCCGCCGGACTTCTACACAAAGGTTAGTGGTAGCCATTCTGTCCTCCCAGCTTAGCTCGTATTTGATGACAACATAAAATGTTGGATGAATGGCAGATTCGAATTGTCGGGGTACCAGCTGATGCAGCGAAGAAGAAGACAAAGGTTATTGAGAACGACTGGGTGCCCATTTGGAACGAAGAGTTCAAGTTCCCTTTGACAGTGCCAGAGCTTGCTTTGCTGCTGATTGAAGTGCGAGACTTCGACAGGTCGGAGAAGGATGACTTTGGTGGGCAGACATGTCTGCCAATCTCAGAGCTCAGGCCTGGGATTCGAGCAGTCCCTCTTTATGACAAGAAGGGAGAGAAACTAACGTCTGTGAGGCTTCTAATGCGCTTCCTGTTTTTGTATGAATGATTCCATTGTTTCCTTTTTAACTTACGCTACTGCTTTTAGCTGCCTCTGCCCACCGTGGCCTTCCTGCTTCCAAGCAAGCAGCCCTGTTTTGTTGTAACATGATTACAAATTCATTATTTTATTTAAAGGTTGAGTTCTTTTTTATAGTTTCAGTTTGAATCTCTTTTTCTGGTAACGGTCTAAATCCATAGTTAGTAGATATTGTCATCTTTAGGCTGCTTCTCGTCAAGGTTTTAAAATGTGTCTCTTAGTAAGAGGCTTCCACACCCTAAGAAAAACGTGTCTCTTAGTAAGAGGCTTCCACACCCTAAGAAAAACGTGTCTCTTAGTAAGAGGCTTTCACACCCTAAGGAACGTTTCTTTCCTCCAACCGATGTAAGGCCTCACAATTCACCCCTTGGGTCCAACGTCCTTGTTGACACACCGCTTGGTGCCTGACTCATATACC